TCGCCAAGACACTTCCAATTTTACGTGGGAGAAAACCCGAATAAACAAAGACCTACATATATGTATGTATGTATGTATGTATGTATGTGTATGTATGTATGTATGTATGTATACACACACACACACACACATATATACATATATACACACACACACATAAATTTAGGGGCACGCACATGTTTTTTGTGAACCCATTCATTGTATGAGAAGGGGAGGGGTTTTCAAGTCACCAGTACTGAGTGGCTCCACAGAATTTCCTAGAGTTTAGAATTTCTTGACCTTCGAAATGTTGTTTGCCCTCTACCATAATAGGGAGTAGAACAGGGGTAGTAGCCGGATGAAGGTCAGAGGTGACTGCAGGCTTCAGCAAGCTACAATGGAAAACGGGGTGGGCTTGCCATAATGTCTTAGGGAGTTGCAATTCCACCGTAACAGGGTTAATAATATGAACGATGGGGAAAGACCCAATGTATTTAAGGCCCAGCTTTTAGATTGCTGCAAAGATTTTAGAAACCTAGTGGAAAAATAAACTTTGTTCCCCACCTTTGTAAGGTCTAGGTTCGATTAGTTTCTAGTCTGCTTGTGCTTTATAGGCAGCCTTGGCTTCATCCAAGGCTTTGCAGACCACTGGCCAAATGATTTGCAAATGACAGATCCACTGTTTCAATTAGGGGATTTCTGGTTCATGTGAGGGTAACTCAGGCAAAGCATTGAATTCATGCCCTGTGGCCACTCTGAATGGGGTAAAATCTGTGCTAGCGTGAACTGCATGATTATAGGCCACTTCTGCAAAAGGCAATAGTTGTCCTGCATATGAGCATGTACGTGACAGTAAGATGACCTTCCGGGTTCCTGCATGCACATGCACACCGGCCAGCTGGTCTTCATGCAGGTATGGGCACCATGTGGCCTGCATGCACGTGTGTGCCAGAAACTGGAAGATCATCTTCAGGGCGCACGCATGCGAACCCGATGGCTGCTCTTCCAGTTTCCGGCACATGTGCACGCTCCCATTTTGGCACTTGGTGCCAAAAAGATTTGCCAACACTACAATAGAACCACAGGACAAAAAGGACTGATTTTCACAAAAGTCAGAGTCAGGTCTGGTTAATTGTTTAGTTGGAAGACCATCAAAACTGTGGACCACACTGGGATGCCCCCACCCCACCCCAAAACCCATTACAGCAGTGATCCCCAACCCCCGGTCCGCGGACCAGTGCCGGGCCGTGGAGTACCTGGCACCGGGCCGCGCAGCGGCCGGGGGCCATGATCACTGCAGCGGCCGGCCGATTCCTGAAAAAAACCTAAGAGCCCCTGCGCAGCTACGTAGGGCTAGCGTAGAC